TGATGTGTTACTTGGAGAGGATCTCATGAGGACAAGATTGCACTTAACAGTTTTGAAGAGGCAGCGAAAGAAAAAATTAAACAGCGGGAGGAAAGAAGCAGGGAGTGTGAGGGCATTAAAATTGAATGAAATTTGCAAAGTGGCCAAATTGAGGAAATGGAAGTGAATTGGTATTTGCCTATGTATCTGTGCATAATTAACTGTAAAACATATTCACAGCAATGCATACTTCATTACCACCTTTTTCCAATTTGCATGCTAGATTCACACTATGGAGAGTATGAGGCTTAGCTCAAGATCTGAGGCTCGTGACTTCAATCATATAAGGCAGACAGACTGCCTTGCCATCAGCCCAGACTCTCGCAGGTTTTTTTTGATGTGGCCCATTCATCATGGGTCAGGGGTTTGACCAAACACTTTATGTAATAGTTTACATAGTATATGTATAGTAACAGCTTGTGTTGTCGCCCATCTTCTACCCAGGAAGCACTGGGTACAGTTAATTCCTTGAAAATGGTGTGATGTGATGAAACAGTGACAACTAGTTTGTTCGAAAATTATTATTCATTTACACAGCAGCGATTCATTAAATCCTTCAGATTACTTTGTGGAAAGTGAGCAAAAAATTAAGAGACGTTTTCACAGCTACTGCATCACCTGTACTTGTAAAACCAGATATTCTTAATGTGTTTTATCGTTTTTCTTATTTTTTTCCATTTTTCATAATCAGTGAACCATGGCAAAAGAGTTTTGAACTATCTGACAGTGAAATTGGACTTTTTAATGAAAAATTAAACCTTTGTGTCTTTTATTGGAATTTTATCACTGCATAAAAGCCATATTGTGCACAACATGTACATAACATCAATCCCAGACTCTTTAGCTTGACATGGTTGACAGCTTGAAGCTGTCATTAGGCGGTTGCCATGGTGATGACCAAGATACCGTACACTGTTGATGTGTTTCAGAAAATGTTGTTTAAACGTTGCTGCTGCTAGTCCTGCCCTCCCTCTACCATTTTAGCAGCTTTTAATTATACATTGCCATCAGTTTTTGTTGTTGTTTTTTTACAGTGGAGAAACGCACATAGAGATGAATGGAAATGAGGATGGAGGAGAAAGAAGAACGGCCTGGGAGAGAAAATAAAAAGGAGAAATGGAAAAAGAAGTAATACAAAATAATAAAAAAACACGCCAATGACTGTAAGGATGAAGGATGGATCAGTAAACAGGGACCAGCAGATGGAGAGATTAAAGCCAAAGATGCCGCACATAAAATGCAAGGAGGGAAAAAGATTTACAAAGACAACAAAGAGACTAAAATGAGAAATAGACAAAAACACACATAAATACGAGACAGACATCACTTAATCATAACCGCTCCCTATCCATTCTCCATCTTTATTGTGGGTGGAAAAAGCAGGGTTGAAAACAAACAGACAAACAGAGATAAATGAGCGACAGGCACCCGTCCTTCCACCTTTTCCGTAGTCATCCCTTGTTCTTTTATCCTCCTCCTCCCTCTCTGTCTGTTTCTCTCATCTCATCGGTTCTCATGTATGTTTTAACGCTTCTCATCATATATTTATGTTCTGGTCAAATAGGGGGCTGCCATGGAGAACCAAGCTGTTTGAAGAATGTCACAATGACAAAACCTGTTTCACTAGTTTTGAAATTAACTTGTGTGGATATGTGGTGAGTTTAATCACCTGATAGGCAGAGGAGGCATTATACATATTTCATTTCAAAATCTATGTTATGTCCCCCCCTCTTTCCTAATGTAAAGTTTTATTTCGCATTGCCTTCCTGGCTCCAGCGATTTCGGAACTGGCTCATATAGGAGGCGGTTTACTAAGCAACATCAGTCGCGGACAAAATGTATAGAAATGTTGAGGGAGAAAAAAAGTTGGTCAGCTTCTTCTTTTGTGCTGCTGTTATGTCTAGCTCAAGGCAGCAGTGATGATGTCTGCAGCAGGGGTGGATACATCTAATGTAGGCCTACTCTTAATTTCGCTACATTTTCCATTCATACCTTTTATAGCTTAACCAGTCTGTAATCTGCATTTTGCTTCATTAACCGCGCTGGTCGGGCGCTTGTCACAGTCACAGAGCTGGGCAGATGCAAACATTTAGAAAATTAGGCAAATATCTTTTCAGTTTAAGGCTTTATTATTCTACTAATACAACTGAAATCTAGTGAGTGCACACCATAGCACTGGTGACCGTGTTGGAAAGCAGCCTGCGTCGCTCTTTAACAAGTGAAATACTTTCACTTTCCACTGACGCGCATTCAAAGCGTCTTTAGTCTCTGCAGAGCAAATGAAGCCTACACTGTAACATCTACGTCAGACGATCACTGCATTGATTGAGATATATATTAAAAGTGTCCTGTTGTTGATCAGAGCATCGCTTTGGACATTAGCCCGTTTCTTTTCTTTAATACACATGGTAACTATTGTTTTATAGCGATGTCCGATGGTGAGTCCAAAACTGAATGTCGCCGGTGAAACTGATCTTTCTTTCAGAGAGAGAGAGAACATGGTGAGTAAAACAGTCCTGTTGGGTTTTACGCATGACGCACAGCTTCCTCTGTATGCAGGTTTACCTGCTTCAACAAGGAGCTCTCCTGTCACTGCCACAATAATTCTTTGCGTTGTGAAGATTATTTAGATGCTTCAGGAATAATCACATTGTATTGGCAGCCTGTGCTACTGCAAAGCAAGCGGTTTGGTCGGCAACATCTCCATAATAAAAGGCACAGGCAACAAAAGTTGGCTGGGCAGCAAAACTGATATTTTAAAGTGACCTCTAAAATAGGTTATAACTGAATCACGTCACGCCTGCGTATTTTGATTCAGTGATAATATTAAAAGTTGATCTACAGGAGAAACATACCTGAAAGCAACCCAGAATGCTTGAGAGCTGCTCTGCATTATATTCTGTTACAGTTTTAGATTTTAAATACTTTTATTATACCTTTATTAAATCAGAAAAACTCTTTTCCAAGAGTGTCTTGGCCAAAGCAGCATTAGTACAATTGTACATTTAAGATGGAAATAAATAATCAGTTACAAGGTCATAAAATATCCAAATGTTCTTAAATATTGCCACAATTCAGCAACACCTGAATTTTGTGTGTCCCTGTACATAAATAATTTCCACAATAATTGATGCAGGAAAGGCAGAAATTGGTGCAGAAAAACACCACAATGCAGGAAATTAAGTGTTTAACACTCACAATTTCCTGGGGAGTACATCCAGACCCCCCTGTTCATACTATCGCAGTTTTGTTGTTATATTATTATAATTAGACACATGACATTACAATTTAGCAACATCAAAATGAGACAGTTAATATGTTGTTCTGAGTTTTGTTGTGCCGTGTAGTAGAGGATGTTTACTGTCGCTTTACTGCTTTACAGACTTAACTTTGGGGTGGGTGGTGTGTGGGGGTCAATTGTTATGTGAAGATATGAAGTTTTTATAAGCTGGGCTAAGCCCCCAATGTTTCAAGATCCTAAAAAACGCCCCTGCGGCTGAACTAAAGTCAGGTAACTGGCAGAAATGGCTTTTTTGGATCACACTACTTTGCTTGTCAGGACTTGTTCTTCTCTGCTTCTTATTGGCTAGTAGTACTTAACTAGGTACTGCGCATGTGCAACTCCAAAAAACACCATATGGGAGAGATGCTTCACTCGGTTAGATGAAATGTAGCTGTCAACCACAGGGTGAATATGTGCAGTATGATAAAAATATGGTGTTTTTTGAAAATGAAACCATGTAAACCTGTTATGGTACAACCCCTAATATAATTATCACCCTGAAAATGAGCATAATAGACGCAATCACGCCACCCCATGTTAATGCTTGTAGGTGGCTATACAAAAAGTCCTTTGTCAACTCAGAATAAACAAAGATTGTCATGAACAGATCTGGTTGGATCACTTTCCTAAGTATTTTAGAAAACCTCACAGTACTTTTGTCCAGAAATCACAAGTTTTTATGTTGGAAAACTACTTGGCCACAGATAATATGAATAAACTCAAATCAGTTCAGGAATATGCTACAAACTAAGTACAATACTGAAATAATAAAGGTTACAGATACATGGACCCCCATCAAGACTAAGTAATAAAACAAGACCCACCTTAAGACCCTTATCATGTCGGTTAATACTATGCTTTGTACCACGACACAACAAATTCTCAATTCCAATCGGCTGGCAGGTATGGGTTAATTTTTTCTATTAAACTAGCACAAACCACTTGACACACAGTCCTGGAGCATTTAGGGCCCCTGGAGTTCTGGGCCCATGGAGCATGCCCACTTTGCCCAGTGGGTAGTCAGCCGATCTACACTAGAATTTAAACTAAAACTTAAGTGGGTTTGAACAATATTCGGATTGTTGTTTTGTGATGGCCAGTGTGATAAGAGTTAAAGGTTAGAAGTTAGAAAATGAATGCTCCTCAGAAATATAGACAAGCTGTTCTCTGTGTAATGACGCCTTGGCTTGATTGACCAGCCTTAGTGGCTCAAGGTGAGAGCCGTCAGGCAGTGGGGTTATATCTCCATGCTGACCGATGCCAAGCTCACATGCTGCTGCTTGCCAAAGGCTCTCACCTCACACACACACTCACACTGTAATTCTCCCTGCCCCTGGCACAGGAAAAATGACCACTCATTCTTCTGCTTTCCCTCCTCTTCACCCCCTCAATTCTCCACCCATGGTGCCAACAGTTGGCCTCGCCAAATGTGAGCTACTCTCCTCATCCATTGTTCCTTCCTCTCTTCCTCCCATCATATTTGTTTTACTTCCCTCCCTGTGTCATCATTTGCTCTCATTCTCTCGCTTCCCACCTCCCCTTGCCCTTTCCTCTCCCTCTTGTCTTTTCTCCCAGCAATTCATCTGTCTTTCTCCCCTCCAACACCGTCGTCTGTCTTCCTGTCTCGCCCCCCTCCTTGGTCCATTCGTCTTTCTTCCTCTCTCTCTCTCCTGTGTTCTCATTTACCGCCTGTCCCTGAGCCTATTCGTCTTTCTCCGACACCTTCACTCTCTCCTG